TCATACGAGGCGAAGGCGGCCGATGATGGATCGACGACACACACGATGGCGGATGATGAGTGAGCATATAGTAGCAGCTATACACGTACATATTATACATTATATTATACACCAAGGCCCACCAGACCTGTGCTGCAGACGACGGCGTTGCACTTGGCCGGCCACCGATGCTAATGTCGCCAGGCAAACATCCATCATCGGTTTTCCATTTAAGATTATATTTTCACTTGCCCCGTTTTTTTTATTTTCATGCTCGTCCCTTTACCCCCTTCCAAAGGTACACGCACCCCGGAACGACGTTTTCCCCTGCTTTCCGCACAGATATTACCTCGAGATTACCGACAACCAAGCTTCGGCATATTATTGTATGCACGCCCTACCCCTCTTTCGCAGCACATATACATAATATACCATCTCTATACCTGCGCATACCTCAATCGAATCGGTCGGCGGTTTTTTTACACAGGCCATTTCGGTTTCCGATTATTGAACGTGTCATCCAACGACGATTTTGCTTGTAAACGCCAGCGACGACACGACAAGGCGCGGATATAATACGGCGGAGAAGGCTGCGGACGATGATCGACGAAATCAAACCCTTTTTTATTATTATTATTATATTGCATAAGAGAACGCGACCGGAAACTTCGAGAAAAGGGATGGAAATGAGTTGCTTTTTTCGTTAAAAGTATACTTTACGGATTTACAACGTCTTTGCCAAAAGCATGATTTAATATTTTACACACTGCGTCGTTGTAGTTTTATGCGACACCCCTCGAGTTTAATACAAGTAAATTATACATAACATGATATAGCTGTTCTAACAACTGGGTTGTAAACAATGTTATACGAGTAAAAGCTACACCAACGACTTGTAAAACGTTCCTTAGTGTTTCTTAAATCATCGATGAAACACATAATATTATAATATTGTAGTTGAGTTAAAACGATTTGAACTTTTGTTAGTTTCATCTAGTTGTTAGGACACTTGGGTCCATAATCACATTTTTATGCTAATTACATGATAAAAGTAAAGCATTGAAAATAAATACCCAATAATAGCGTAGACCTTTGTGGATGAAATTAAAACGAATTTTGTTCTAATTAATACGCTATTAAAATCATACGTCCCATATTTGTGTGATCGACTATCGGTCATTGTTATTTTTTTTAACTATAATAATTGTTGAGCTTATAACAATAATAATAATATAATATAGATATTGCGTTGTACCTTTAACGCTCATCGAACAACGGTCGACTGGACATAAACAAGTAGTTAACGTTGTCCGATCAAATTGCCTTTATAGCGTTTTTGTAATTGGTAAATTATAGTTTATTGTTAATATATTTTTTTTTTATATCATAACGCATGTAGTGCAATATAATAATGTGAAATTTATTACCTCGTTTCCCTGACGATCGTTTAAAAAACGATATTAAAGAGATATAATAACAGCATTGCGGTATAAATACACTGGAACGGCACGTCCACGCAAACATCCGGTAACGACTCGCAATATAATGTCTCAATAATATCAAACGGAGTCGGTTTAAACGCTACTCGAAAATAATTTCGACCAGAAATTTGTAATTTACAACTCACATACACAGCAACAGTTAGGTATTGAACAATGCCTACATAGAGAATACTACATAGAGATGAAGAAAAAATTATAAGGTTGGGATTTATGAGAGTTTTTTTAATCACTACTATACAGTATAAAATAAAAGTAAAATACTATTATCAAAAGATTTCATTGATTATTAAAAAAAAAAGAGATTCGACGTAAAAGAAAGTATATATATATATGTAAATCTTAGTATTTCATTTAATTTGGAATTTCCACGAAACCCACTTGACTTGTGTCATGTCTTTTAATTTGAAGGTGGTGTGCAAGAACTCGATATTGCTCGTCAAACAGTCGTTTTAGCGGTGCGCGACGCCGCCCCATCCCCTCAATCCTTATCTGAACGGTCCCAAGGTATTTGTTAAGGACACAAGGGCTTACCGCGTCCTCGGGGGGCTACTACACGAATTAAAAAACCATACCGGCTGGACTCGGCCGACTCTTGTTGTCGTCGGTCGGAGGGTGCAAATCCCACGTCGTATATATAATATAAGCGACTGACCCCAAAGGGTTCGCAGTAACGACGTCAAAATCATGGGCAAAGCACATATATCGTAAAACTAGCTACGCTTCGGGTTTAGCGTTGAAGCTCAGTTAATTGGTTTTAACGACTAATGAAATATTCTTTAGAGATAGGCTGTTTAAGATGTTTCCATTCGACAAGCGTGCCAATTTTTCTCAATCATTTAAAAACAACCTTGACGTCCTATTAAATCTGGTATCGTTTTGTTTTTGTATTATTTATATAGTTGCACTTGTAACGGACAGAGTCATTTACCATCGCATCAGTTAAACAAATTAGAGGTCAACATGCATAGAAAGCGTGTGCAATCCTTACTTACCCACATGTTCTATCGGCTACTCAAATGTTTCGATTGGCATGTGCTTTAATTATGCATTATGAAATAATACCTTTAATGATGATGATAATATATTCTAGCAACAAAAGTTAATAAAACTGTTGGTTTTGCATTAAAAAACCCATATTTTAAGTCGCCAAGAGCCTGTTGCCGACGTATACAGTAATTTGAGTTTCGCTTTAGATACAGTAGTTGTTTGTTTGTCGCTTTATTGTCTAATAACGGGGATGTTGTCAGAAATGCGCGGTTTCGGGCCACAGAGTTATAGATTGCTTTAAAATTTGTTCGGTCTTTATTTTATTTATATTGTAGTAACGGCCGTGCACTTCTTAACGCGTGCACACTGTATCGTATGTTCGATCTCGGAACGCACATTATAACATTCTAAGCGTGACATACGACCCGAAGTGGCGGTAAGCGAAACAAGAAAAGGAAAAAAAATTGCAAGATAAAGACCATATGTCGATTTATAATATTATAGTAAATATCGAATTCGCGACGCTTCTTATTCTGCCCGTCCGAACGGGTCTTGTGGGCGATAGAGAGACACAAGGCGATTGCTGTACACATGATAATATCACCCATCGACCAATATAATATATATATATATATATATATATACAGAAGACCGTTATGGTGTGTATAATAATACATATTATATGTATGTGTATTGATGTCTCCATTATATTGTGTATTATCGTTGTCGTGTGTCTTCCATTGTCCGACAGCGCTAGTGAGGATTAAAGGCCTTACTTTTCTTTTTATTTATATGGTTTTTTTTTTATGTGAGATACAGATAAGGTCTTCCTTTTTTTCACAGCTACACGCACATGCTCGTTTCTAGATCGGCCGTAGATACCCTTGGTCTTGCGTGTGCCTGCGTCGTCTTGTCCTTACGCCGCCGCACAGTGGATACCCTTAAGAGAGTGCTTTGTGACAGGTATATATAAGTAAATAATACAAACGTGGATCGTTATCGGAACATTGGTGGCTAATCTTATGGGCCCAGGGTGTCGTTGGTGCTTGGCTGCCAGAAAATCTACTCGGTCAGCAACGCGGTATTCGACCGTTCCTTATTTCCCAGAGGAATCTTTATTTCGACGTATCAAAAGTTTATCTGTTATGAAAAAAACAATGTGCGTTCAACCCAGTAAAACGTGTTGGTGAATGTAAGTATAGACTTGGTCACTTTAAATGTACGATATGAGTTTAAAATTATTTTGTCGATGGAAACACTTTCTGTGTTATAGTCTTGGAGAGCCGACAAACTTCTTCATTGATTACAGACCAAAACCGAGTGTGTTTGAGCTAATTACTTCTTCGTTGACTTTGTTATTACATAGTTATATGACAACACAACATCTGAATATGCTACCAAAATAAATTGTTTGCGTTCCTTATAATATATTTTGTAAAAAGTAATTGACTATTCATAACACAACCTATCGTAATAATATATCCCCTTTTGCATTGTTTAGAATTAATTTTGTGTACCTACCACACTCATTTCGTAGCTATTTTATTGAACATTAGAGGAGCGTTTTTTTTAATGAAGTTTTTATGACTATCGCTGTATAATATTATGTATTGCGTTGAGCTTGATTTTTATTTTATGGATTTTTGTGTAATACACGTGTATAATAATATTTCAAACCATCGTAAAATGTTGTTTCTTTATTAAATAATCAATTGGAAAGGTTTAAAATGCATTATATTGAAACACTTAAAACGGAAAGGGGCTTTCATTTTTTATGTATATGTTAATTCATACTCGCCGCCGTTGTAGAATACAAATTGTAAATAAAGAAAAATAAACCTGACGGTATTTTTCTCATTAATTATTTAACTCAAAGCTCGGAACCGACGAGCCGAACAACTCAATTTTCAATTACTATTAAACGTAAACACTGTGTTATTAACACGTCCTCGCGCAGATAGAAAATAATTTAAAATTACCATAAACATTGTACCCGTTTAATCGGTTCGGTCGTTAAACGCACAAAGCGAATTTGACTAGATTGAATATTAAATATATTAATAAAAAAATTACAACGTCCGTGTCCTGCCTGCGCTGTTATCCGTTTGTTGTTTATTTATCAATACCAACAATATAGTGTAGTAGACCAAACGTTAATTACTGTTATTATAATAAAAAGGAATACAATCATTTTTTTTTTTCGTCCTTCTCCTTGAAATCTGGTTCAAATATTATTACCATTATTACAACACAATACGAATTTTGGATTTTCATTCGGTCGCCTGTGCCGAAAAAATACATACAGTCAGCATTGTTGCGCCACAGCTACCCGCCAACCCCGTCGGCACTTGTCTCTCTATCTCTATCTATCTCTCTCACTCTGGCGGTACCTACCCTTTTGCCACGGCCTCGGTTTACAAAAAAAAAAAAACAGGAGAGACTACATGCGAAGTGCGGGAACAACCGAGAGGGACCACCGCGCTCACCAGTGAAACCAGTGTGGAAGCGTCCCGAAGGCAGCAGCAGCAGTCGGTCTCGATGCAATAGTCAGTCTGTTTGACGCTGTCCGACCGTACGCATCCGTGTTCGTCGTTGTGCGTTCCCGTTCGCCGTCAGTTCGATCATTTCGATTTTTACCGTTGTAAACTCTATTGTTTTATTTTTGATTTTTCGACCAATCGCTTCGATAGTATTTTCGGTGGTTAAAAAACAAAAAAAAACCGTGAATAATCGCGAAAGAGTGTGATATGTGCTTGGTTGGTTCGTGAAAAGTATGATACTTGGATATCCACCGTATGGTAAGCAATTGGAAAACAAACAAATAATTTCAGCATCTAAAGAGTTTTGTTACTATATATTTTAGCGTCGCATACTATTGTTTTCAATCTACACCGAAAAGATTAGGCTATTAATCGTCGATGCAGTAAATGCAAACAATGTTTTTTTTAGATAAATTGATAAACGGAAAAGGTTACATAATTTAATTACAAATATTTTCCATAAATATATACTTTGAAAAAACACATTTTATTGTAAAATGTATCTTTACTTTGCGTCAAAACTAAAATAATATGGGTCGGCCGTTTTCGTTGCCCAATTGTTTGCTAGTCCATTTTTGTTTTGTCTTATAAAATACTGTGTTCGAATTAAATTTTGTCCAATAAAATATATCTCGATTTTAACAAGAAATCCATAAATGTAGACCGGTAATTGTAGAGTTACTACGATGATCAACCATTAAGAAATAAATTGATTTCGCAAATTCACTTATTTGTCTAGTTTAGTAATATAAAGGTTAGAAGACGACATTTCTTTTTTCTCAGAGTTACTTAACGTATACAAAATCTATTTTGCACAAACAAACATGATAAAATACATATAAAACACAGTAGTAGTGGTAAAGAAAACGTTTAATATTTAACACCGCTGTTGATTTCCATTAAAGTTAAGTACAACCGTTGGGTTATTTATTTGCAAAGCATTTGAAATTACTCTCGTTTAAGGTGACGTTGTAGCATTTTGGGAAAACGAATGGTAAATAATAAGAAGTTGTACTTGCGATGAAAATGTGTTCAAAATCATTTTTAAATATTTGATACTATATGGTAGAGAAATATGTGATGCTGGCTAACGTACCAAGAAATAGTTACAATTGAATAAAAAATATATTTTCAAAATTAATTCATAAAGTAGGTTTAACTCTTTTTGTCAGACAATAGAGACAATTTTTTTTGTCATTAAAAGTCCGGATGCAAAAAATAAATAAAAGAATAGGCGGCGAGGTCCATTGAGAGAGAATTGGTTAAAAGAGATTTTTTTTTTCTTTTTGTAATACATAGACAATAGACATCTATATCAGCACCGGAATAAAATCGAGTTATTGGCGACAGCGACGACGACGGCGACGGCGAAATTGACCCCCAGAGGGTTAAATCCCTCGGTTCGTTAAGCACAGGGATGCGGGGGAGGGTGAGTGAAGCCCGGAGAAATTGTCAGCTTTATAAAAATCAAACGTCTTTTTAAAGATTCGACTACCGTGAATACATTTTAATAAAACTATTTGCTATTTCTCTCTCGTAGGCGTGTCATGTGGCTGTCATGTTATATTACATCCGGCGAGGCTGTGACGTTATTTATTGACATATGTATTCAAATTACTTACAAATATTGCTATAATGTAGGAAATAATTGAAAGTCTGAGTTTTTTAATTTTTATTTTGTAGTCCTGTTTCCGTTTTACCACGTTTTTTATTCTGTTAACATATTATTATATTTTTTTAGACAATTTTACACATTTTTCATGCGAAATTGGTCGATAAACAATAATTTTAGTAGTAATTTTCTAATATTATTATTTTCATAAAAATCCAAGCTAGGTAGCTAGGATTTATTAATTGTAATATTTCTTTATACTATTATTATGAACAAGCGAAATGTCGGATAAAGGGAAATTTATTAGACACTATGACGATAATATTATGTACTTATTTATACATTTCACTTCTGATCACTTTTTTGCTCCATTATTATATGAAATAATATTATGCTACTATCAGTCGTGTATTATTTTTGCCTATCGCGTAATTTCTGTACCCGCTCGGTACATTTATTATCGCCATAGACTTTGTCCGGTACAGACTTTGTGACATTCGTAATAAGTAATTATTATGTATATTTCTAATAATAATATTATCGCAAATCACAATCATCATCGTTCGCCATGAATAAATGCTGTAGCATCCGCGTTGGTGGTTGTGGCCGGAGACTTGAGGCACTCTACGACACAACAATAATAATATTATCGTGAGAAATGTTACCGTTTATTGACACAGACTAAAAATTTAAAAAATAAATATAATACCGAATCGAAGAATAAACACTGCTATGTATGTGTGTGTGTGTGTGGAGTCGTGCGTTTCGAGGTATAGTCCTATACACAGCAACTCCTAAACGGAAAGAGCCACATTAATTGACCGCATTGTACGGTGAATGCCTCCGCCGCACAGTATAAATCATCAAGCCCATCTATATGTCGTGCAACTATGTCCTAAATATATATAATACAAAATATGGTAACGGTAATGTAAAAAAAAAAAAAGAGAGATAAATTTGTTCTTCCAAATCGTTTTGTCGCCCGGACTCGATGAAACTGCAATTTTCTTTTGGTATCCTGTTGTCGCCGATCAAAGGATTGGATGGTTTTTTTTTTCAATTTTTTGTAGACCACATTTAACAGAAGTCGAGTATATTATATTTTGGTAATCGGAAAGGCTATCGAAAATCGATATGATAAAATAAAATACAACAGCCGAAGAATGCGGTTTTCGCGGTGACGCGAAGAGAGGACCTCTAGGACGGAGCGGGTGTTGGGCAGGACAGAGAGAGGGGGCTATTTAATGTATTATTATTATTATATTAGATTGTTTTTCGGGTACCGACAATGGGCTCGCCGGCCTCGGGGCCTCGACGATGATACTCGGATTATTATTTATATGCGTTTTTTTCTCTTTTGTTTTACAGGTAAGTGTTTACGCGGAGATTAACAAGCGCATTGTGTATTAACACACGGTGTGCACACAATGCGGTGACGGGCGGCGATAAAAGCAGAGAGACGGCACCGACGACGACTGCGACCGGGGCGTTGTCAGCCGGTCAAGACATTGTTATGTCCGTCAAAGTCTTCTGTTGGTGACGGCCTAGGAGACATAAGAATATAATATGCACGTCGTCGGTCGGTCGAGTCTCGGGCGACCTAAGCCGAAAACTACCGCCGAGACAATGGACCGTATGTGTATTGTAATAATTATTTCACGCAGCCTTGGGTATCTGAAAATAATAATATATTATATATATATTGTAATCCGCTTGTGTAGGCAGACGCGGTGAACGCGGTATGTTGGTATAGAAGACAAATAGTAGTAAATATAATAATATTATGTAGATCGGTGGCGGGGAGGAACGATGGCGGAAACCGTGAGAAATCGCATGGACAATGGTCTGCAGCCACCGCAGCAGTCAATTAAAAAAAAAAACAGCAACCCGAAATGATGCCTTTAGGGTTGTAAATGTAAATTTCCAAATCGGCAAAAACATATATATATATATATATTTACCTTCTCAATCCGGTTGTGTAGGAGATTATAGAGATTTTAGTGTGCGTTAACCTTAGTCACGATTCCATCGAGACTTAATAATAATAATAAAAATATTATACTCGCTGCACCTGAGTTATTATTAGTGTAGTATTTTTTCTACCGGCGATTCCGACTGGAAATATTTTTGAATAATGTATTAAATATATACGGATGAGTGTGTGAGTTGGGAGTATGGATTTTCGCGACCAGTTTCAGTAAATCGCATGGGATAATGTACATAATATTATAATGTTGTATATTGCAACACCGTACGCTGCCATTAGAAGTACAAGCGTTATAATCCGATTAGACATTTCAACCGGCGCGCTGGCAATAGTAATACACATAATATAATGGACATAATCCTATATTCGAAATGGCCGATTTAATCCGGCATGTTCTTGAAAATCGACAGTTTTATATGTGCTTTCAGCCAGAGTAGTATTGACCGTCGCAATTATATTGTATATGAGCGGTTTTCACTGCCGCACCGAAGAGTAATTATTATTATCAACATCATCATCGCCGATTTGCTCGTTTTTTCTTCCCGGTATCGACTTACTATCGCCGTCGAGCTTCCCACAACTCGAGTAGTTTTCCAGACCTCTAAACCAATCGCGTTATGCTGACACAAGTATAATTATGATTTTATTAACATCTTTGTGTACAATAACTAGGTTTACGCTTGAACTGCGTCGTTCTGTGCAAATTCGTCTCGCGCTCGTGTTAACCAATCGTTTATGGGATACTTGAACATGTTCTGTGTATAATAGCGGCTACTTGTGTGCACTTCTTATGTACGCGATTTACGGTCAAACTGCAAACACACACACAAACTCATACATAGTCCTTCATCAAACACACCTGGTCGGCCGCTATCATTCCAGTTCAGTTGCTTCGGAATGCCGCGCCGTGGCTGGACGGGCAAGAGACCCCAGAAAATGAAATCACATCCGAGATATGTTTCACCGGCCAAAGATCTGCATACGGATTTTTCAAGTCTTGCAGGGCTTTTTTTTTTGCCTAAAATATGTCAATTCGGTCGTTCCACAAGCAATTACACGCCGTCTGCCGCCGGCAGCCTTACATGCGGAAAACCCGAAGCTAATTCGTTAGGAAAGATTCCCCTTTTTTTTCCGGTAGATTGTAAATAAAAATGATCATTATTATTTATAGACGTACGAGAGGTCGTTACGCGGGGATAAACCTACCCGGGATTAGTGGCGGTGGCGGTGGTTTATACCGAGAGTATATACCCAACTATACCGTGGTGTTATATTATAATATATTGTCCTCAGTTAGGAAAACAGACTGAAGATGGTAGAAAAAAATATAGTTTGTGTGCGTGTCGTTAAATGACTGTTAATGTAGCGCAGCTGTACGATTAAAAAAGAAGCTAATAACAATATTGAAATCTGTTGCACGTGCAAGGGCCTTATGTGTGTTTACAACACGGTCGACACTCGACGGATTTGTAGTTGAAAAAAAACACTAAAATTATACCCGGTGGCCAGAAGTACACAATATTATTATGTCTTTCTATTTATTATGATTATTATGTTTTAATCTGTTAGCCGGGTGTCAACACGCGTGTGATTAAAAAACGGCCATTGTTGTGACCGAAGTCAAGTAGGTGCGAATATTAGCCACAACAGTAGTATGGT